ACTTTATGAATTTTACTTCAAGGAATAGCAAAAGCAATAAGCACTTTTTTCTTTGTAAAAAATTATCTGCTAAGATCCCGAAGAAAGACAATTTCCCAGGTGAAAATGCATACTGAACAAATTCCTTATTCTCTTTAATCAACAGTTGGAATTGAGCAAGGAGGTAAAATGTATTTAACAGATTTACATCATATCTCTACAACCATTACACTGACTGGAATATCAATGTTATTTCATTTAGCATGAACACAATCTGCACATGTTATCATTATGAGCTATGGCTCAGCAAAGTTAACTTTGTTGGAAACATGTTCAAGCATGTTCTATTTCGTAAAAGCCATTTTTGATGGATGTTTGACTTCATGACAATAATATTAGTATTTCATAAATTATCGTGTCAAGATAAGCATCCCAAAGACGCCTTGGGACGTCCTCCCAATGTGAAAGGCGCTATACAAATGTAATCTTGTTGTTGTTGTTGTTTAGAGACCTTTTAAATTAAAGTATTCCCTGAAATACCCCACCTCCAACAATGTAAAACTCTTTCAGTAATGTTTGGTCTCTGTGTGTCAGTCAAAGATGTTAAACAAATCCTGTGTTGGGACCGAAACATAACTTTCTGATCTGACAATGATTTTTGATCCAACTCTGATAAAGTAAAAAGAAAAGGATACATTATTCTATACATGCCTAGTAAGAGATTAAAATGGAGGCTGGAATCTGTTGTATGGCGGATTTCTCATTCAATGAGGCTGCTGCTTTTCGCCCACAAAATATACAGTCAATTCACCTTACAGTATATTCTGCGAAGCGCTTTGAGATGTCTCAAAGACGTGAAAAGAGCTATATCAAATTAAAGGATTATTATTATATTATTATAATAAAGAATCTTAAATCTGGCCCTGATATAAGACTATAGTCTATGAGTTCTTGTGATTAAAAACATTTCCCTGTGACCAAGAAGCTCTAAATGCCTGTCAAAGTAAATCCTGTGAAACGCTTTGAGACATCTTCCCACTGTGAAACATACTATAACAGATCCAGGGATTATTATTGATATATTTGACTGGTCTGTACTGAACAATTTTGCTTCACAGTGGGGAACAAAATAAATCAATAAATCAATTTAATTCTGATTGATACTATCCCAATATAGTTTATATAGGGGGGTAAGTGCACACTCAGTGGTTGAAAAGCTAATGCTTGAGTAAAACTTGAATGGTTGGCATTGATGAAATTCTTTTAGCCAAAAAAGTAGCCATTGTAGATTTACGATACAAATGTAATTCTATAGCACTTTTACAATACAATACAAAATTACATTTGTATAGTGCCTTTCATGTCGGGAGGATGTCCAAAGGCGCTTTTCACATTGGGAGCTCATCCCAAAGAGCTTAACAGTACCAGCTGGACCCCGAGCTAGGAGTTGGTACCGAGGTGGGTGGAGTGGGGAAAAATAATCAAAGTGAGTTACATTAACAATGGGAGGGAGTTCCAGAGAGTGGGGTCAGAAAGGCTGAAAGCCCGCTCAGCAATGGTGAGCCGGGTATGGTGGGTGGTGGTGGGGGGGGGGGGGAGCATGACACATAGATGCTTCAAGCAAAGGTAATTATCTGGAAAAATGTTAGCTTAGAATGCAAATCTGTATGAATCGTCCACACAACCTATTGTACTTTTCTAAATATAACACGCATAATACAGTATATATACAGAATTTATTCTAGTTGTGACAGATGTTTTTGTACTTGGATATTTAATTAATTTATTTACAGATGGCCAGTGAAATCCAATTTTTCTGGGGTTGCTGATTTACTTGATAATTTACTTTTGTGCACAGAAACGAGCAGGTGTTACAGACACGAATAAATGTTTATTGTTACCCAGCGATTGTAATTGCATTTGATAGTATGAATCAGAATTTAATTTATTCAATTTAAATAATACTAATTCTTGCGTTTGATATAGCACTTTTCACGTCTTCTACACGTCTCAAAGCGCTTCACAGAATAAACTGTGGGCAAAACGTGGCAACCAATTGCGCACAGCAGTGTCCCATAAACAGTCGTGGATTGAAGTGACAAATTTATTATTGTTTTTTTCTTGAGGGATTATTATCAGGCGTGTGGAGTAAGGAAACTTGCCCAAGGTTTCACCCTGGCGAAACGGTCTTGTGTTAAAAAATTAACCATAGCAGTTTGTGTGAATTACTGAAACTGGAGGTTTCAAATTGCCTTCATGGTGCACTCACTTTAGGAATGCAATCACACATCCTGATATGTATTAAAATATCAACAAAAAAAATAGAAATTTCAGACAGTGTTGATTACAGGAAATAACAGGATCGGTAGTCTGCGTTCACTGCTGTGCAAATCTGATTCACGGTTAATTTGAGATAATCAGGATGCTTCTGTGGGTGGAGAGAATTATTTTGGGATGTAATTTGAGTTCCCCCACCCATTCTTATTCTTGGCTCCAAGCCAAGACTAACTATTTATTTTTATTAACAGGGTGATAAGCACAGGGAAGCACTGGTGGTGAAATAAGGAACTATGAAGGGTTTCAGAAAGAAATTAGAAAATAAAGTATTTAGTTTATTAGATGATGAGATGGATTTGCCAAACAAACATTTTGGGAATCTGGTTGGTTGCGTTAGTTGAACTAAATTTAAAGAACACACACAGTTGTATTTTACAACTTTAAAAAAAAGTTACATTTTGGGTAAAGTCAGAGTGAATAGCCCCAAAACTCAGCATGCTTCAGAAATGCCTTGGCACTAATAATACTACTAATAATAATAATCCTTGCATTTGATATAGCGCTTTTCACGTCGGGAGGACGTCCCAAAGCGCTTCACAGAACATACTGCAAAGTGAATTGACTGTATATTTGTGGGCGAACGCGGCAGCCAATTGTGCACAGCAATGTCCCACAAACAGTCGTAGATTGAAAATGACCAATTAATTATTGTTTTTTTTGGTTTTTGAAGGGATTATTATTAGGCGTGTGGAATAAGGAAACTTGCCCATGGTTTCGCCCTGCCTGGAATTGAACTCAGGTCTCTCACTTGCAAAGCGAGTGCTCTAACCACTGGGCAAGTTTATCTGGTGTCCATTGAGCCTTATAGTCAAGTTAAGTCCCAGGTTCAATATTGTGCTGAACTGATCTCCTGGGCCAGGGAGTGAAAATCAATCTAAATTGCTGCCACTGCTCACTTGCCAACAAAATCTGCGGGGTGCATGTAAACATCAAGTGAGGCAGGATTGGGTTCATATGCAATACCATGGTTCGTCAACTAGTCTACTGTAATACTTTGTCAAGTCTAGCTGACACGAAGAATGGTTACTTGGATAAGGTAAATAATAGTGAAAGAATACAATAGTATTTAAAAAAATACACGTGGCAGTGGAGGGGAGAAAGAGTAGAAAATTAGAAATGAAAAAGAAACCTTGTGCTTCACCAAAACTTAGCGAAACTTGGCAAACTGAGTTATACTCATGAGGTCTACCCTCTCTCTCTCTGTTTAAATTTGGACCTGAAACCTATCTGATCTACTGCAGTTACAGCCACTGACCCCTCCCCATTCAGAGTTCGACTTCGTGAAATGATCTGCAATGTTAGCCAAAATGGAGGGCCTCATATAAATGCAAGTTGTTGTTGATTTTCCACCCAATTAAACTGCAGATGCAAGTTACATTGAAATCAATTAATTTATTATATCCCTCCTTCTTACACATGAGTCATGTTTGAGGATTAACTAACTCGAGTGAGATATGAAATACATACTTCCCTGGATCTAATATGCATGGACCAAAAAAAATAACATTTCCTTAAAATGTCTGCAACATGCATTTAATTTGGACACAAAGGCTTTTCTGAATTTAGTTTTGGCCTTTTCAAAAANCTAATTCATACTGTTATACTAAATTATACCTTATGGCCAGCTTCATGTAATTACACTCCTTAAGTTTGCGCAATGAAAAAAAATATTCATTTAAAAAACACCTAACTTCATTAACTTTCTAACATTAATCAACACCATCCGAAAAGGGCTTGAAACGCAAATGCAAATGAGGAGCTTTGAAGCAGTAATGTGCTGTGCTGATCAAAGTGTAATCTCACCAGTATTCTTTACAGTAGTGGAAGGAAGATGAAAGATAGATTTTTTAAAAAAGAAGGCTTATATCAACCAGAATGAAATAAAACCAGCAGCATAGAACACATCGCTGTTTCCAATCAGTGCAAGATTAATGTTTCATCCAAGGGGATGTTTAAAGTGAGTGGGAATGAGGGGGTGGAATGAAGTGAATAAATTGCACTTCAGAAATTGTCTCTGTTTTAAAAGATAATCAATTGCTGCATAATTGTATATAAGAGGGCAGGAAATAATAAGCAAAGATTAAGTCAAATGTTAACACCATGGTATTTCTTTTTACACTTCTTCACCAATGGAAAAATTATAACATAACCAACTTTTAAGGGAGGATGACCTCAGTATTATTCAGTAGCTTTATTGTCTCCATTTTCTATTTCTGAAGTATTGTTTGAATGCAGCTTAGAAATATTTATTAAAAATCACTAGGTTCTTTATTTTACTTTTCTTTAACAACTGCATGACCAAAAAATGTAATGCACAACATATTTTGGGCAAGAGTGTTATTTTTTAAACAGAATAGGCACATTTCCGTTTTAACTGATGTTATTATTTTAACCAGTAGTTGTGCTTTTCTGCAACGAAGAAGAATGATCATGTAGAAACACAATGTAAAAATGTAACTGCTGTTCATGAACCTTTGTTCGGGTCTACTTTCATATGACACGTTGGGAAGTTTGCTGCGATCACACGTTGGTACCAGTGGAGCTTTTCCTTCTGCAGTCTAATGATTTTAAATTATAATTTAATTAACACTTCAAGTATCAGCCAAAAAGAATAAGCCACATGGTTTATGGCAAAATAATGGCAAACAGTCTAACCAAGGAGAATTGTGTTTTAAACTGGTTACCTCCTGGTTAGCAGCTGTCAATTCCTCTTCCAGTGTGGAAACCCTCTCCAGAGCAACTCGTAGACGCTCCCTTACCTTCAGATAAAACACAACAGGTTTGTATAAATTGAAAGCAATTTTTGTGTGTATGCGTCACAGTGTTGCTTACTTTGTTTGTAGTTTAAACAGTGTTCATTTATATCCTTAAGTCAAAATACTCCTTATGTAACCAAAATTTTGCACTTCCGTCCACTTTTGTTTCTGTTTTGGTGCCTTAATGATGTACTGAAATAAACTCAGTATAATTCAGACACAGTTCTTTCTTTGATAAATGAATCATAAAACTGCAGTTTCCACCTGGTAGCGCAACAATGTTGATTTTAAGGCAGGTAAAAGTTTCCACAAGTGGTTACCTTCCCAAGAAAGACTAAAGATAAAATAAATTAAGAAATGAATCGAAATGTAATGGTACCTAACACAATGCATATAGGATAAACAGAAGATGATGGGAATGGGTTATGGTGTTGATTTAAGTCTTATCAAACATTAGGTCTCAATATCCTGCAAAAGGTTAAAAGAGAGCTAAGCATGGCAAGTAGAAGAAAACTAATCATCATTCAGGTTTGAAGGTGGAAATCAGTGTTCCAAAATACCTTACCACCAATGTTTTGTATTTTAAAATATAAGTATGCATTTTCTAAAATGTTTTCACGTTTTGTTTAGAAACAAAATCAAAGCTCACAAAATAAATGGCTCTGCACAGGACAGGAGGTGCTAACTCATGATCAGAGCTTTGTACAAAAGGGTTGGTTATTGCTTTAGGAAAATGGACAGACTATAGAATCTATGTTTTTAGTGCAATGAGGATAATTTTACAGTTAAATCATTTTTTCACAATGAAGTGCCATTATCAGCTGACAGTGGCAGTTGAGATAGAATAGATAAGGTACAAAATATACTTATATCTTGTTTGACTATTATAATTGGTTTTAGGGACACTGAGACCTAATGTTCAATACCGTGCATTCCATGAAAAAGGTTAATTATGTTTGCATATAAAATCGGCCACACAATAGCTCAGAATATGTGCAATTTCAAGGAATGTAATAAAGGACAACAACCTCCTGGGTATCATTAGTTATCGCTATTCTTATCCAAACTGCTGTTATAGCAGTAAATGACCTCACTTCAGGGGCAAATACACAACAGATGAATTAGCATCTGATCAAGGGTTACAGCTGAAATATAAATCTATATTTCTGTGTGTATTTCTAGTACTTTGTGGTATTGGTTTATATGTTTGCTTCAGGAGGCTGGAAATTAGTTTTCAGATTTCAATTTTTTTATCTACTATATGACTGAAACATTTCCATTTATTTAAAAANCAGACATAAAATCAGAGTATTTCTCAGAGTAACACTAACTACACCATGAGTTTCTGACATCACCCTCCCCATGCCAAAAGCATTAAGAACACTGACAGGAGGTGCACAAGTACTCATGAGATGGTATTTCACACTGATAGACTATAATAATGATCCACTTTATTAATTTAAAATGTTCATTCAACTCTGCTTTGGAGTGTGAAATTTAAGACAAAACTGTGAGAGCAATACATAGGAAGGCTATTGGCTTGAATTGAAGTCTTTGCTGAATTATCTGTAAATGATGGCAATGAAGCAGCTGTTGGGTGCCCATGGAGTAAGAAGGGGAATAGTCGACCAGGTCCTTGAAATTGCCACTGGAAGATGTGTGCATGTGGATGTCCACCAAACAAACATTAATCGGTCACCAACCTATTGGGGGTCTGTGCTTCAAAGACAAATGTTTATGTGATTTGCTTTAAAGAATAATAACAATGGCTTATTGCTGTGAAAAATCACCATTGGAATGATATTGTTTCTCCTAATGCTGTTAAGCACAGAACACCAAGATATGAAGAAACCAAGATATGAATTGCTGTGTCACCTGGTGCAAGTGTTATCACCATCACAAATATTATAGATACAAACTGACCAACTGATGGATTCATATGAGAAAATGTTTTTACCAGAAATCTGGTACAATCTTTACTGACATTGCTTCACACTAGCAGAAATAAAAATACACACATCTCAAAATAACACTTGTCTGTCACATAATGTTCTCCACATGCTGCATTAAAGACACAGCACGGCTACCAGCACACTGGAAATCTTATGACCTTTCTCAAGCCTGTTGTACCTCACAGATGCTTGCATCTATAAATTCTAGCTAATCCACGAAAAAACTTTTCAATTCCACTTTCCTCACCCAAGCACAGATGGCAGCCACTATCCTACTCAAAGGACTTGCCTCCAGCTCATCTGAGAAAACTAGGCATCCCACATTCACCAATGTTCCAAAAATAAAGCAACGTCACTGGTAACTTGGAAGCCCCATTTTATTAAACCACAAAAAATAGTCATTGTGCACAAAAAAGTTCAATAATTTGATCTAAGCAAAAAGCATCCAAAATTGTTTCCAACCATATATTTGCATGCAGGTAGAGGAACATATATGAGTGGAATATTGTAGGAGTAGCAATTAGTTCAATCATAATTCATTGACTACAGGCAGTATCAGCAATTTTGAAGCATAGTACAGTAGCATAAAACTAGTAACATTTGATACTATATCCTTAAGTTCTATATCCTTAACTGAGATCATCCTCCCGTAGAACTCAACAAGAAGTTATACTTGCATAGCGCCTTTCACGTAGAAGATCTTAACTCACTTTACAAAGATGGGGTGAGAACTCATCAATATTGCATTGCATGGATTTCGGCATTTATGTAATGATGATCACTTTAGAATAACATTCTCACATCTAACCTCATTTTAGGTTTCTATTTCATTATGTATTATTTCTTTGTGTGACCACTTTTCTAAATCCGATACCGGTACATTTGCAAATAGTGCTCAAAACTAATGTTGCTCATACAGGTACTCTTTCTGTTATAGAGCACATAATTTATTGAATATTTCACATTTTACATAACAACAACAACAACTTGGATTTATATAGAGCCCTCCTCACTGCTTTGCTCACTAAATAATGGCAGCAGAAAGAGCAATGCTACAGCCATCGACCTGAACTTCCATTCTTTGGGTAGAGATTAAGTATAAGTGTATACAGCTATGGGTATGTTTTACAAAACAGTTTCTTACTCTGTGAAACTTGCCCGTCATTGCAAAACATGAGGAATGCTGAAAATATGAAATTAATAACATCTAAATGCTGGATATGCACTGTGGGCCATCATCATTTGAGAGAAAAAGATACTTTTTTTTCCAGATATGACCCTTTGCCAGAACTATCTTGTAAACATTTTCAGTTTTTTGTTTTTATTTCAGACCGTAATACTAGGTTTAGCGTGCATGTCAGCAGGTAACAACAACCGCAAAGGTGCTAGGCCTGCAGGCTGAACCTGTTTTGCTGTCAGATACTCCCTCTAGCTTTCCTAGCTATTGCTGTTCCTACCAGTAGTGGCCATCCAGGGAGGGTGGGTCTTTGCACTACATATACATTCAATAGCATCACCAGTTTCCTGCATGAGTGTATCCTCACCGCTTTGCTCACTACATAATGGAAGCAGAAAGAGCAATGCTACAGCCATCGACATGAACTTCCATTCTTTGGGTAGACATTAAGTATATGTGTATACTCAGGATGTATGATATCATCGCATCACATACATATTGTCTATAAACGTGCAAAGCCTTCAGATATATTCTATGGAACATAGTTGTAAGAGAGTCACAAGAATAGTTGAAAGGAGATCTTTTCACCTAGAGAGCAATTGGGATGTGAAATGCCCTGTTGAGTTGGGTGATGTAGGCAGTCAATTGCCGCTTTCAAGAGGAAAGTAGTTAGGCTTATGAAAGAGAGGGGCTTGAAGGAATAAATGATGGAGGTGAGATTGAAGCAAAATCCTTGTTTGGTGAGCTTGAATTCAGAGTGAATGATGTTACTAGTACATGCACTTGCAGCACTTGGGTTTTAAAATGAAAAACTGTCTCACAAAGATCAATGCTGCAAAACCACTTGAGCATTGTTTTCTATAATGTAGGAGATATCTTTCCTAATTCGTATACTGCATTTACGAAGTGTAGTTAGTAAACATGGTGCATTTTCCTAGTAATAGGGAAATTATTCATGGAGAGGTTAAAATGTATTTTAATAGTAAAACTGGATATTTTAAATTCCACTGAAATGGATATATTTTAGAGATTATTATTATTATATAGTAAACATAATTGGAATAGGTGGAACTAATGACAACAGAAATAGGCGAACTGATTGCACTACTAAATATTGTCAATTTAACTGACATAGTAATTCAGAAAGGTAAAGAAATCAAAAGGTGGCAAGAGTTCAAATGAGGAAGGCCCTTCAGTCTATGCACAATTAGATATTATGTTCAAAACAGTTCAGTTTCTTCTGAATTCTAATAATATTAATGCATTTAGTATGTCACCATATCACGCCATCAAAACATCTCAAAGCACTTCATGGGATTTACTGTAAAGTGGAGTGACTCTTTGCACACAAACAATTACCAATTTTGTCTGGGGGATTGTTGGCCAGCCCGCTGAAAGAAACTCTTTCTAATTTTTATGTAGTACCATGGAATCGATAATGTCCACCTGAACTGACAAATGGAATCTTAGTTTAACATCTCGTCTAAAGAATGGCATCCCCTGACAAATCAACCCCCAATATTGCACAACAGTGTCAGCCCAGACTATGAGTTCAAATGGGTTTTGAACTCCCAATCTTGATTCAGAGGCATGAATGATACCGACTTAGCTAGGCCTACACCTAAATTAACAGGAGTGAATTGTGGGAAAAAAGCAGTTCTACGTTGTGTAAACCATTTTCTCTTACCTTTTCATCTAATGCTTTATGGTGCTCAAAAAGTGACTTTAAAGCCTTCAAAACCTCCACTTCACTGGAAACCCCCGAAGGAGACTGAGCTTGCCGTTTCACCACCGTCATTCTCAATGACCGCTCATGTCTTGACACAAGACACTCCAAGTGTTCCAACAATAGCTGCAAAATATATAAACACTATATTTGACATTAAGTACAACCAAAACCTACATTGATTATATAATTTCAGGTGCCAGCAATGCATTTAAATTCACATTGACAACTCTTCATTTCTACCTTAGAACCTGTTTGAAGTACACAAACTGCGGTCAGGGTTGTTTAACAGGTGTATAGAATCATAGAATCTTACAGCATAGAAGGAGACCATTCGGCCCTTTGTGCCTACGCTGGCTCTTTGAAAGAGCTATCCAATTAGTCCCACTCACCAGCTCTTTCCCAATAGTGTTGCAGATTTTTTACTTTTCAAACATCTATCCAATTCCCTTTTGAAAGTTATTATTGGATCTGCTTCCACAACCCTTTCAGCAGTGCATTCTAGATTGTAAAAACCCATTGCGTGAAAACAATTCTCATCATCTCCCCTCTGGTTTTTTTGCCAATTATCTTAAATCTATGTCCTATGATTACTGACCCACCCATTAGTGGAAACAGTTTCTCCTCATTTACTCCATCAAAACCCCTCATAAATTATGAGCAACTCTATTAAATCACTATTAAACCCCTATTAAATAAGTATACAGAGACGTATGAATATTCTGTAGTTTGTGCATTATTATTTTTAGAATTCAGGGAATATGTACACAATAATTTTCTTCAGGAGATGTTATGCGTGCTAGAGGAGGGATGAATCAATAATAAGCAGGTTTTATATGGAGGAAACAAATTTCCACAATTGGAATAGTGTTTTATTATTCCATACTTTCTTATGCATTTATTCAATTAAAGCTTTTTATAATCCAGGGTGCAGAATGCTTAGATAGCTGTTTTCTCTCTGGGTCTTAATTCTGCAAGAGCAGAATAGTAAAAAGGCACAAATTTCAGGTAGTATGGAATAAGTGATCTACCTGTGGATAGTGCTTTGGACTTTTACAAGAGTTGACAGCATTACAATCCCCAAAACTACTAACAGCATGTTCACTATAGATGCAGTAATGTATTATGATATCTCTGCAATGTTAATGCTTTTTGTGGTAATGTGTCAGGTTACTTTAGATCATATTTCAATAAATACAATGAATAAATATTCCAAGACATCCAGATTCATGGATATGAGTAACTTACTCGTGTGTTATTTCTCTCAGCTTTGAGTTCTGAAATTTCCTCTTCTTTTTCTAACAGTTGCTCTCTACAGGCATTTAACTCCTTTGTCAGTGCAGCAAATTCCTGTTAAGGAACAAATAAAAAACATCAATAAATATCTTACACCAAGGCAGAATTAAGAAGAAAGAGCGAGCAGTATTAAGCTCCTGATATTCAAAAAATGACAAAACTTATTTCAATTATACTTGACAAAACTGGTTTGAATCTTAGTATCCACTGGGATTCAATCCCATGAAGCAGTGACAGAGGTAATTGGTGGGTGGGGGGACTGACCCCAACAGCCTTTAGGTGTATGCATGGGACCTTTTTAAGCAAGCAGGAGGTAGTGAGGAGAGCGACAGGAAGAGAGCCAGAGCGAGAGCAAATAGCCAGTAGGCATAATCATAGAACTTATACAACACAGAAGGAGGCCATTTGGGCCATCATGTCTATGCCGACTTTTTTGAAAAGAGGTATCCAAGTCAATTCCTTTCCGACGCCCTGCAAAATAGAATCATAAAATTCATGGCACCATTAATAACCCATCACTCTCTCTGGTTGCCAAACCAAGCTCGCCATTGCAACGAAAATAGATTTTGTAACAAAACCTTTAACCACTAGTAAATCCATCCCATATGAAAATGTTATAATATTAGCTTTTCAACTCACTAGGTTGCACAGTCAGGCATATTGTAAAGACCTGGAGGGTGAACATATTTGAATTTTAGATACTGTTTGACATACACCACTTAGAAAATGATTGCTGTAAAACAAATGACAGTAAGAAAATCTGTTGCCTCAGCAATAATGAATGAAGCCTCAAAACCACCATATTTGCAAATGTGCACCAGTGGTTGGGGATGCATGTTAGAATATTAGCTTTTCAACTCAGTGAATTAGATTTGAATCCACCTTTATCGAAGAGTGATCCTTAATCTGCAGGCAGTGTTACCTCCAAAAATGTCAATCTCAAACCAGTCGTGAGAGCGCATGTCTACAGTGCAAATCTGTCCTTTGATGAGCAAAATGACACAGCTCTTTCCCCATCAGTCAGCACAAGATTTGGCAGTTTGTCATTATCCTGTAAGTCATTCATGCTGTTACTGGATGAAAAAAGAAAAAAATGTTCCCTCCTTCCTTACAAAAATATTACCATGTTAAATTTTAGGTTTATGTTATGTAATATATTATGAACAACAATCATTATTTACATTTTATAATCTCAAGATATGATAATAATTGAATGGTAGCTTTGTCTCACAGCTGCACAGTGTCATATTTGATTAGGCATTTGGTGGAATGCTGCACAGTCAGGCATATTGTAAGGACCTGGTAGGTGAACATATTTGAATTTCATATACTGTTTGACAGATACCTTTTAGAAAATTATTGCAGTAAAACAAATGACAGTGAGACAGAAAATATGCTGCCTCTGCTGCCTCCGCCAGAATGAATGAAGTATCAAAACTGCCATGTTTTTAAATGAGAGATTAAACTAATGTAAAATACTGAAATTCTTTTCAATAAATCTACAATTTAAAGATAGACTGTCAAATCTAACGTATAAAATACGTTTATTTTGAAACTATTCCATAACAACAATTCCAATGAGACATCGGATTCCAAAATCATATTTTCTGTTTTAAATGGAGTGTGTCCAATTTTTTTTCTCCCCATTGGCATTTGCTTCTACTTCTGGTTTCCTTATGCCTGGGTACGAATCCTTGAGCTTCCTGGAACCTACCCAAGTGGTGATTATTCATGTGTGAGCATTGGCAGTCAGTGTAGAGGGCATCACAGCTGAGTCTGACCTCATCCCTGCCACATACATGCTCTACCGTTAATGGGGTGCTATAGAACCAACAGAAGCAGGTACGCGAGCTGTTTTTTCCCTCCCCAACTCTAGAAATGCTGGGGCCAATTTTGCTTCAGGCCCGACAATGCTCAGCAAACTCAGCACAGAGCAGGATTCAAATCAATGAGCTCTTACAGCTCTATCCTGTATACCATTGGTGCTGCTCCCAAGAATCCACACTATTAACAGAGCAATACAACTGACAGTTTCTTTGGCAATGTGTTAGGCTGTTACTTGGCAACATGTAAAAGTTGTCTTGGTAACTGTGGGTGTAAGTGGTTTCCCTTTCATTTGAGAGCACATGTTGACTGCAATGAAACAGATTTCTTTTACAAAATGCAAAATTTTGGTTTCCTCAACAGTATGTTCAAAGGGCAGTCAGATGCGATGGTGAAAACCCTCAGCAGATGCTCTAGTGTGAGATGGATAGCACCAACTCATGGACTTCAGTAGTTTTGTGTCAAACGATAAAATTCTACAATCAATTAAAAACTGGACAACAATTTTGAAAGCTAAAATACACTAGAAAACAAGATCATGAGTGATATAGCAGATAAAAATAATAACTACTATACCAGTTATTATTGAAGATGATAAACTCATTCAAAGAATTGATCCTTGAACTCATAATTCAAATAAATCTGTTTATTATTACTTCCAGTGTACAATAGCAAGGAAGGCAATAAATCAATGGCTAGACCACTGGGAAGTTAAGGACTATTATAATGTTTTTATTGTATTCCAAATTGTTTTTAAAACAAAACTTTCCTCCACATATTATTATGTGGTCATCATGTGGAGGATAATGGTTATCCTCCATTATCCATAATGGAGTCCTGTAGCTCAGTGGTTGGAGCAAAAACAACAAGATTTTATTTATAGAGCGCCTTTCACGTCGGGAGGACGTTCCAAGGCGCTGGACAGTTGGGCCGGGACCTGAGCAGGGGGGAAATGGTCAGGGTGAGGGGAGGGAAGGGAGGGAGCGAGGAGGGGGTAGAGAGTCGAGAGGGGAGCTGAAGGCACAGTCGAAGAGAAAGGTCTTGAGACTGGCCTTGAAGGAGGAAAGCTTTGGTGACACCAGTGGTTGTGTGTTTTAGAGAAATAGATACTACAGTACATATAATAATAATATAGAATATATAAAGTACATATTGTATATCTCTGGAACTCCATTCTATAGTCCTACCCCCACGCTCACCACATTGAAAGCCTGCCTCAAAACATATCTCTTTCACCCTGCTTTCTATCATTTTTCCCCTCTCCATTTTTTTTTGGTTCCCATCTCTTTCGCTCCCAACTCCCGGCTCAAGTGCCCAGCCAGCAGTACCAAGTTGCCCTCCCAACATGAAAGGTACTAAATCGTATTGTATATATAAAATACAAACTCATATTCTTGATCCTAATGGCTTAGATATAGGAATATTGTAGCATTTGTTTGGCAACATCTTGTTTTTACTTGTGGGATGAATTGGCCACAATATTTGGGAGAACCTATGGCACTCTGGAATTATGGTATGAAAATATAATTAAAATAGGCTGAAATTACCTTTTAGTTCAGCACTTTTACAGCAGTATGAAGCAGTACCTCATGTTTCCAAATAGATCACTGCTTTTGACTCACAAAATAGAGAATCTAACTCAGCATCAGAGTGTATGTAGGTAAAAGAACAAGCAAGAGTAAATGAGAAGATTCTGAAGTACTATTTATAATCATGATGCAGAGGCCTTTACCATCTGTAACATAAATGTGGTGGACTAAATCGGGTAGACTTGGTCAGATCCAAGTGGGAAGCATATGGCAAACACCACTCTTGTCACAATTGTCTGAAGAGCTGTGGTGCCAATAGCCTTCAGTGTTCCACGAATGTAATAGCAAATTCGTCAAGATATAATGTATTAATTAAAGCAAGTTATAAATAATGTATCTGATTTGGAAGCAAATCCTGAGACAAGATGTTAAAACTTACTTGGTTACAATAAATTGGCTGCTTTATTGTTCTTGCACAGCAGTAAATAATTTTACTGTAACTCATTGCAAAAAAGTGGACTTTTCTTTTGCTTAAGTATGGAACATCATTTATCTTGGGGAAAGTAGCATTTACATTTGATATAATTTTTTTTAAAGAGATATGTTGTATCAACAAAGTTTAAAATTTTAGCAATATCAGTGACAAACTGCATAGACAGATGCATGGGATAAATCTCTTCTGTATGAGGTTTGAAGTTAAAATTACTTTATGCTTCCTGGAACATGTTTTTTAAGAGTAAATTCACAGTGCTGCCTATAGTTTGATCCTTATTGTGTTTGTTTAACACAGGAGTAATGCCTATTTAATTAACTTAGAAATGCTAAGAATATTGCATGAATGAGTGTCCTACAATACCAGTTCTGAAAAATATAATTTTGTCAAAATTGGAAAAAATATCATAATATTCAATGAAGCAGCAAATTACTTCAATATAAATATAAATTTTTAAAAAATACTTGGATGAGCCAATTGAATATTGAATTAGTAAATTACCCAAGAAGGGGATTTTTTTTGAGACAACAGCAAAACCAGAGTGGGGAAAAAATAGACAATTCTGGAATACAACCTGACTTCAATCATGAAGGCATTAAATCACTGTGTATTTTAATGAAATAGTAACAGCAAGAAGCATTGACAACTTTAAAGATGTGTACTCGATTGTATGTCCAGCATGATGCAACAGCAAAAATGTTTGTATCTCAGTTAAGCACTGGTAAAAATGGCAGGATTATGCAGCAGTGAAAATAATATTTGCACGCAATGACAGCAGTCCTGTCTGGTTCTGTAATCCTGTTCAGATCATTGCTGTTGCTGAAATTAGAGATAAATTTATTCCATATGGGGTTACATAGATGACTATGTGAACCATAATCCTTGTTCTTTTGGCATACTTTCAAACTGCTACTAGGATTTTGACACTAAACCCTTTGCAGGAGTGAGTGAATTGCCAAGCAACCTGCTGAGTGTTAAACAAGACCATTCACCCTTCTATAATGAACAAATCAAAATCCTACTAAAATATTCTACAATTTGTATGTAATCCTTTTAATATGGGTATAGGGTCTGATAGGGTTTGATATTGACATGGAGCCTACAGCATATTGGTTAGAGCAGTTGCTTCACATGCAAGAGGACTTGGGTTCAATTCCCAGGCAGGGCGAAACCTTAGGCAAGTGCGCTTACTCCACACGTCTCTGTTT